CTTACGTCCTTTCCTTGCAGGATGTTTGTAGTATCTGCTAGGGTTACTTCGAACTGCAGTTCACTTAGCTGCCTTGGGTAGTATGCACCGTGGTTCGTGATAACTTCGAAGTCCAACGGGATAACATATTTAGTACCGTAGGCCGCCTTTATTTCGTCTTCTCCTGAGGCGCCAAAGGCTGCGCTTCTTACCTTACGTATGGCTGCGCTTGCAATCCCTTGTTCTATCCTTTGCGCGCGGTCGAAGGCCGTCAGCCACAAATCTTTATACGTGGTGTACAGATCGTACCTGTTCAAGTCCAAGAGGGATTCCCCGGCGAACTTAACGCGCATCTTAGAGACGATGTTCCTGCCTACGTTATTGACGACATGAGGCGCGTCTGCGGTATCTGGCTGCACCGCTAGTTCAAACCTTAGCGCTAACGTTCCAGGAACCAATACTAGGTTATCCGTTAGGCGGGACACGCCTACATACAAGGTTTTTCCTGGCTTTGCGCTGCTGGGGGTAAAGGTGACCCTATGAAAGGTGCGTTCTGCCTTTAGTCCGCCAACCTGCTTAGGGTTTGGGGTTTAACTTTGAGCTTATTATTAACGATGAAGAATTCGACGCATATGGACCCAAGGCGCGGAAACCGACCCCCTAATCTACGACATGGCCCTAAAAAACAAGTATGGCAATAGGTGGAAAAGCTTCAAGGCCTCCTTGAATCGCATGTGGCAATCAAAGAACCGCGGCAGCCCCTTCCCCGAGTACTTAGAACTTCAAAATATAGACGAGCATGAAGCAACCGCGCGGGAAACCGTAGAGTGGGCAACGCAAGAGCTAAGGCAGCGCTATTCGCGTTTCGAGGCCGACGACGTAAGGCTCACAGAACGCGGAAACAAAGTCCTCATAAGCGTCCAAGACCTGCGATTTCCTGAGAAAAACCGCTGGACGAAACCACAACCCCTTTTTGACGAAAATGGCGAAATTAGGGGTGACGTGACAAGATTAAAAGGCTTCCAAGTGGCTACCCGGAGTGCGTTAGAAAGGTTGGAAACCCTGAATGAAAGGGTCGCACTAGAAAAACGCGCCGAGGGGCTACAAGAAACGTTGGAAGAAAGGGAAGCAGAATACATGAGACAAAACCGACTACTTCTCGATGCTCAAAAGAGAGAACTTGACGACAAAAATCAGCTAATAGTACAGATGAGAGAACAAAAAGACAATGCCCTACGCGATAGAGACCAAGCTCAAAAAGCCTTTGAGCTTGCCCTGCGGGACCTGGGCATTAGTAAGGAAGAAGCCAAAAACTTGCATGTCACCATAGCCGGCTCTTTGGAGGAACGGCGGCAGTTGGTTGCCGAAATTAACACTAAAGAAGAGCAAATCCGGCAAAGAGATCAGGCTATTGAAGACCTGGAAAGACAAATAGAGCGGCAGCAAGAAATAATCAATGACCAGACTCGTCCCGAAGAGGAAAGGGAGGCAGCCCAAAGGGAATCAGAAAGCCTTCAGGTACGCCTTGCGGAATTACAGGCGCAAAAGGTCAACCT